GAATCTTCTGCCGAACGAGTTCCGGTTCGAGTTGGCTAGGTCAGTGGTTAATGAAGAGAACAGCAACCGAATCATTATGTAATGATCAAACGAAACGAGTTCTGGCTGCCATGTAATTGTATACATTTGATGGGCCATTTGCAATCAAACTCTTTCCGCGTGCAATTTAAATAACAATCAGAGGCAAGAACACGAGTTCTATTGGCCAGAACATTAAGTCCGTGTGCCGCGGCGGTCTTAACTGAAAACGAAAAACAAATACACAGATGCCCAAATAGATGCCAAGATGAATGCCAAAGTTAGTCGAAACTTTAGTGCCAAGGCGAGAAATTCAAATGAAGCCTTGAGTGCGGCTCTTTTCAGGTTTCCAAGCCACTGACTTGCGGTCGTGGTTAAGTCAAGAATCTAAGATCTTAAGACATCTTCGACAGATATGACTAGCTATATGGTTAATCTTTGCCCCCGATTTGCTGTCGTCATTCATCATTCAATTGGGGATAGCTTAATAAGCGATTTCTTCGCGCCTTTCATTAATAAATTATTGGCGTCGCTACAAAATTCCAATGCAAATCACGCTCCTCGGCCAGCCGAGCTGAAAAAAACGTGCCGAGCTTCTCCAAGTGATCGCGATTTAGAATACCTTTTTTCATTCAATATTTTGGCAACGCGGCGTGCGGACGTCGGGCTCTGAATTCTCGATTTTGGGCGAAAATTTCTAAAGCTCGTAAACCTTTTCTTCCAGTTGCCATTGCAGAGCCAGAATGACGACCTACATGAAGATTGTCGAGGAGCGCATCTCCGGTCTCTCAAAGGGAGTGGGTAAGTAAAAATAAATAAAATATATGTAATATATACTAACTCAATCTATTATTCCCCAGACGAGACGGTGGACAGCTGGTTCCTGATGAGCTCCCCTGCCCCCGTGGTGGGCGTGGTCCTGGTCTACCTGGCTTTGTGCTTAAGATCGGACCCGAGTACATGAAGAACCGCAAGCCCATGGACCTTAAGCGCATCATGGTCTTCTATAATGCCTTCCAGGTCTTGTACTCCATTTGGATGTGCCGCACGGTGAGTCTATAAAATTAGCGATCCTGACTTATGTATTATTCATTTTTAATAAGCCACGCGCAAAATTGCGGGATAACTAGTTTGCATTTGAATTTTTTATTTTAAAATTCTAGTCTTGAACCATAACATAAAATTAAAATTTGGTAATTGTCAGACTATAAAATTGCGGAGTAGCGCTGCCTTTTAATGAATGAATGAATGAACTCTCCCTATTGTAGATCACAAACACGTGAATGTCCAAATGGAATTTATTTAAATTCGAACTAAAAAAAGGCTTTAAAAAAGCAGTAAAAATTTAACAATACAGCTATACAGGGTGCCTCAGAAATCATTTCAGCGCTAAGTCGTGATTGACTTATATCGATTTCTTTGGCACCCCCTATCATTTATTTACCTATATATGTTGTTAACCTGTTTAATAACCTTCCTTACCTTTCTTACAGTCCATCCAAGAAGCAACGTGATGGCCTCGATCTTCTCGAAGAAGTGCGAGATCAACCGCACCAGGGAGCAGAATCTGACCCTCTACTCCGGCGCCTGGTTCTACTTTTCTCGAAGATCATCGATCTGCTGGACACGACGTTCTTTGTGCTGCGCAAGAAGGACAACCAGGTGTCCTTCCTGCACGTCTACCATCACACGATCACGGTGCTCTTCTCCTGGGGCTACCTGAAGTACGCTCCCGGGGAGCAGGGCGTGATCATTGGATCCTCAACTCCGGAGTGCACATCATCATGTACTTCTACTACATGGTGGCCGCCATGGGACCCCAGTACCAGAAGTACCTGTGGTGGAAGAAGTACATGACCAGCATCCAGCTGATCCAGTTTGTCCTGATCCTGGGCTACATGTGACCGTGGGCGCCAAGGGCTGCAACATGCCAAAGACACTGACCTTCTTCTTCGTGGGCAACACCATCATCTTCCTGTACCTGTTCGGAAACTTCTACCGCAAGACCTACAAGAAGGCCAAGAGTCTGGATGGCGGCAGTCGCACCACCGGCAGCAGTTTGGCCCAATCAGCCCTGAGGGCCGCCGGAGGAATGGGTTGCATGCCCAGACGATGAACGCCGGAAAGCACATCCTGCAGAACGGACAGTCTGGAAAGGCCTACTCGATCTGAACAACAACAGCGTGAAGCCGATGAAGCTGGAATGAGAGAGCGATACTACCTGGTATCATTGGGTTTTCAGTTATTTAGCAATTACGTCCTTTAGCGCGGGGTTTAGTTCGTAACTCTTATCTTTACCTTTACCATTTATCTGTAGTCTGCGGAGAATAACTTGTATAATGTTTATATGCCGGGCAGGCGACGATTCAAACCCAAAAAGTAGCTAGAACCCTAAGTGTGTGAATGTGGCCAAGTTTGACTGAGTACGTGTTAATGTTTTTCTAGCTGAGTGTGTGTGTGCTAGTGTGATAGAGCTTATTAATGAAATGCAGCCGTAAATCGTTTCTCGAAACAAGAAAAATTCAATAAAACTTTGATTTTGTATATTTAATAAAAACCAAACTGTGCGTTTGTGTTCATTGCCGGCGAAATTCGGGTTTTGGGTTTGGGATTCTGGGGTTTTCTATTCTGCACGAGGAGCCTCTTCATTAGGCAACCGAACCGGATCCCATTGGATACCATTATTTATGATACTGCCTGCCACGCGCTCCACCACCCGAAATAAAATTATGCAGATCGGGAAGAGATCATATATTTGCCGGCCATAAAACATGATTAATACCTGTCGATTTACCACTGATTTTGCCAATTGTCTCAGCTGCAAATCAGAACTCAGAAATACATTTCAAACAAGTTAATATTGCGACCCATTTCAGAGCACATTTTTAAGAAATGTTAAAAACATTTTTAAAAATAGAATTAGGTACAGAAGAGTTTGAATAAATTTAACTTTTTATTTACTTAGTCTCCGTTTTTTCAAGTGTACACGTGCTGGGATGATTATGCAACATTATGAGCCGACCTGTTTTCTGGCCCGGCTTAGACACCCTGGCGACGATTGGGAGAATGTCGTTGCCAAATTAGAATTTCTAATCAATTTTTTTCCCTCGCCTTGACTCACACACATGCCCAGCATCACATGTAGCAGTTTTATTTATGCAAATTGCGAATAAAAAAGGCTTGTTGCTTTTTCTTCTCATTGGAGTCAAAGTTCAAGGGACTGAAAAGAAGAGTTTGATATATATCATCTAGGTAGGCGTGTATTTATAAACATGCCCTCGCTTTTTGCCAAATTTGCATAGGTCAAACTCTTTTTTGCGGAAAAACAACAACGGCCTGAAAGTATACCCCAAATTTTGAATATGGAAATTTTTCTGATGTTTCTCTGGTTCTGTTCTGCTTCAACTTGAACCGGGGCTGGTAGAATCTATGCTGATCAATCCATAAAACTGGAATAATATTGGCATATAAGCTCCGGTTGGACCAGAAGATAAACCGAGTTTTGGCTCAGAGGTTGGCTTTGTTTCTTTCTCGTGTTTGTGGTCAAGATCAAGGTCAAGCCTCCAAACCGGCTTTATTGGATACAGTATACTGTATCCGCACATCGGATGGCCGCAACCCCACTTGAAGATGCGTTTTCACTTCCGCTTCGGTTCCGTTGTGACTGATCGATCAATAAAAGGCTGCGGAATTTATCAAAATCTTATCTCGTCTGCTTCTCAAGGTGCCTGCGAAATGAGCTCTAATGAGTGGCGAAGTCGTGTTCCCAGAGCCTCGTAAAAATTCATGAACTGGACCTGCTGCATCACCCCATAGACCTGTTGTTCTAGCCACGCCCATTCATATTCAAATCACCCATCATTTTACGGATGTCTTGGCTTCCGCAGCTGAATGAATAGATTCGACTGTCTATATCATCTTATGCTTCGATTTAAGTTGGTTCCTTGAGAAAAGGTTTCCTCAAGTGATTTATCTGAGGTTAAACAATATCATGAATGGTTAGATTAGGATGTGAATGGGTGTGGCTGCTCTTTGGGAGATACCCCAATGCTATCTTCAAGACAAATAAGATTAAATGCTATGCTCTATAAATAAATATTGAGTGAACACTGATGATTACAGGAAATGGCTTTTTCTGCAACATTTTCAAGGCCAACATACGATTTATTCGCATATTATGACACCTATTTTAATGGATCTTATTAGTTAATATATTTTGTCAGATATACATTTAAAACTTTAATACTTCATTATTTATAGCTTTGTGCAAATTAAATTAATTGCTTTTAAAATAAGATCAAAATAGGTTGAAGACGATACCGTCTTGTATGACGATACCGTCTAAATGTCTGTTCATCTAAAAGTTTTAAGACAAAATTTCACTTAAAGTTTGCTATAAATTTATGATAGAAAGTTTTCCTAAAAGGTAAATTAGTATTATGTTTATATTTATAATTTTATATTTTAAAGTAATAACTAAAAATTATCCTCAATAACATTTATCTTGATGATTTCACCACCATAAGCTCTAATCCCCGCCCATTTCCCATCCATCAAGCAAAGAATAAATCTCATTGTTTTTTCAATATTTTTGTAGAAAAAATTCTAGATTTATTTGTAAAATGTGTTTGTGTTTATTTTATGGGTTTGTTATTTGCTAGTTTTTCACTTGTTTTATGCCTACTTTACATACCACACGTATATAAAATCTAACGAAAACACATTCGCATGCGTACCTACACTTATTTACACAACTAACGCTTCTTCTGCCTGTTTACTTAACTTAGTTCAGTTTTGGCCGAAAACATACGACTTCTTTCATTTGGTCCGCCAGATGCGAACATCAAACGGAGCGATGATGACGATGGCTGCAAAAAGCAATTTCAACTGTTTGAACATTTACATTTACATTGACATTTACATAATATGTGTATCTGTGTCTCGAAAACCTCATTTGCTCAAATATATATTCGTCTCGTTTCTTATTTTCTTATTTTTGCGTGCTTAACGTCTTTTTGGCGGCGGATTACTTAAGAAATTAGTCAACAAGGTTGCACATAGAACATGGGTGGTTTGTCCCGCTTTTTGTACGAGTATTGAAGGGGGATTGTGGGGGTGGTGCGGGCGGGTGGTGGGTGAGGTTGGGTGGGTGTGGGTGTTTGGTCTCTAGACCCCTTCTACAAGGCCTTCTGCTTCTCCTGCTGCAGTTCAATCGCCTTGTTGAGGTCCTTGGCACATCCATCGTTGTTGTTGTCCGCCGACAGAGCCTTTGCCTTGGCGGCCTCCTGTTTCTTCTTGTAGGACTTCTGGTAGAAGTCGTTGAACAGGAAGTAGAAGAAGACTGCGTTGGGCAGGGTGAAGCACACCGACCACCTGGGGTAGCCACAATCCGTGTACAGCAGCTGGGTCTGGTGGATGAAGGCGCAGCAGAACTGGATCTGCAATGGAGGATAGTGGAAAGGTCACGGGGTTAGTGGTGTCTCCAAAAAAGGGGAACATTTTGGGTGTTTTTTCCTTTCAAGTGTCTTACAAATCAGAGCATTAGTTATACTAAACCCCACTACCTAACGAATAAACCTAGTTTAAATCCTCTTGATTTAAGAATTCGTCTTCTACTTGTTCAAGAAGAAACGTTCTTGAAATTAAGAAGCGAGTATTCTTAGATTGTTTTAGAGATGAAGATATCTTGAATTAGAGATGAAAGTGCAAACTTAAAAGTGTAAGAAAACTCTTCATCTTGATATTGAGAATTTGAGATTAAATCAATCTTAAATCCCTATTGAGATCGAGAGATCGGTTTTTAGAACGGCTTTTGGTCTGGCATACAAATTAGACATGTTTATCACTATTCGATGGAACACTAAATTATATATATTATATTTTTAAATTAACCCCTTAAAACACTAAAACACTCAAGATAACTTCCGATAGTAAACAAGCCAAAATAGTACTCACCATCTGCAGGTTGGTGATGTGCTTCTTCCACCACAGGTACTTCTGCATCTGGGGTCCGAAGGCGGAGAGGAAGTAGTAGGAGTACATGATGATGTGCACGAAGGAGTTGATCCAGCCGATGAAGGTACCATGTCCGCCGGGATAGTACTTGCTGGTGCCCCAGCTGATCATGGGCATGACGGTGTGATGGTACACATGCAGGAAGGTCACCTGGCGGTCGTTCTTGCGCAGCACAAAGAAGATGGTATCCAGCAGCTCGGTGATCTTGGCCAGGTAATAGACATAGACGACGCGGGCCTCACGATAGGCCTTGGGGGTGCGGGACCAGTCCACCGGCTGGCACCGCCAGCTGTAGTACTGCCAGATGACCACGCCCTCGTAGACCATCCACACACTGAGGGCCACCTGGAAGAAGTTGTAGACGAGCAGGGTGCGTTCCAGCTTGAAGGGCTTGCGATCCTTCATGAACTTGGTCCCCAGGACAGCACGAAGAAAGGTAGAATGCGAGAATGCCCAGAAGGGGCAGCGGTGACTTGATGAGGAACCAGTCATTGGTGCGGGGATCTACAATTACCCGGTTATATTATGTTCTTATGTTTTTCCAAGTAAAAAACCCCCACTCACCTGCCAGATCTGTGAACAGAAAGTTCCAATAGTCCACCTGCGTTGCGTTGACGGCTGCCATTTTTAAATTCTACAATGGCCTCTTGCTTCCACAAATACGATTATATAGCTTCGATCGCTTCGGTGTGAAATTCAAAAATCTGCTAAGCCTGCGTCGCAACGAACGAGTTTTGCGAAATCTAAATGGGGGATAGATTGGAAGGGAGTCTGGATGAGCGAAAGATCTTTTCGAGTTTCAAGTTTCGCATTTAAGTTATGTTAATGCCATTCTCGGGCAGCAAATGCCATTGCTGTTGCCGAGCCCAGACAAAATAAATAAAATTAAAATAATAATCAGACGCGAAGGAGAATAGCTAGTGTGACGGTGACGGTGAAATGCCGTGAAATTATCATGTAACAGTAACAGTAAATTATATTCATTATTATGAATTAAACAACCGCAGCGCACAACAGCCCGCAACAAATTGGTGGCCACCTTATAGTCATCTAGTCATATATGGTTGCCCCATTGCCTCACGGCCCGGGTAAATTGGGTACTGTCTGCCTGCCTCACGTGTGGAACGCATAAGACTGAGACCCACTCTCAAAGCCAAAGCCATGGAAATTATGTTTGTGTTGTGCAGTTCGTAAGAGATCTCAACAGAAGCCGTTTTTAAAAGTGGGATTGAGACTGTGAGTGAAGTACTCCTCCACTCCCGATGATTAATCATCCCAAAGAACTGGCTCTTCGAAGGACCATTAGAGAACCAACAAGCCATGCTAAAAATCCACACAATCACGTTCGTTGACTTGAAGTCTCACACTTGAACTTGGCAAAGGCCGATTAAGACCACAATAATCGAATAGCATTATGATTTCTTTGGTCGTTTTCGAGGCTATTCTGATCAGCTTCTTGGTCCAGTGTGGAGTGTGCGAAGTGTGAGGAACAAATTGAAATAATAAACGAGTGAAACGGAGATATTTCGAAGGGCAAGTTGGCCAACACTCCAGCTATCAGCCGTCAACAGGTTTGGCTTCGGCTTTCCGGTCATTTCCTGCACTTCAGCTATGGCATTTGAATATTACGTGCAACATTTGGCGCAGAATGGGGCCAGAAAATTGAGGGGTGACAAATGACGGCAATAAGCCAAAAGGTGCTAAACGCTTTTGTTGGTCTGAGCCAAGAAATTCCAGTTTATCAATTTTCAGTTGGATCTACGACCTTGCTAACCATAGGTTTCTGGTCAGAAATGGGTGGGAATTGGTCTACGAAAAACTGACAACTGTCGCATCTTTTGGTCGCCGTCGTGTCTGGCTGATCATCGCCAGTCAAATCGGAGGCATTTCCACTTGGTTAGTCATTTGGTAAATGCCGAAGATCGCGGACCTTGAAAACGCCTAGAGTGAGCAAATAGAAAATTGTGTCACCTATTGCCCAACTGTCGAAGCCGAAAACCCGAAGGCGGGTTTGTTTTGGCAAATTAAAATGTGTCGCAAAAGTTGAACGACCTTGAAGGTGAGATCTTATGTCACCTTATATGGCAACTGTTCTGAATGAGACTTTTAAATTTTTGAATGGAGAGAAAGACACGAAATATGTTTTAAGCTTGTTATGAATTCACTTTCAATGAAGATCGTATCCTTATTCAATGATTACGATAGGATCATTAAAGGATTTTTATTGTGGTGATAAACTCTACGATATCATCCGAGAACAAAGAACAAATGATTATTATTGATTATAATGATATGATTAATCAAGTCTAGAGAGTGGACACACTTCTTGAACCGAAGAATATACTTTTTATCAAGACTTGAAACTGGAGTTACTTTTGATATACGTTCTCCGAACTATGATATCATTTTTTATGGAGTGGTTATTGGGAACTCTTGAAGTAGATTTGAAGCCCATGGCTATGGCAGACAAAGACACAAATTCTATAGTTCCTCTTCTCAATCGCATTCGATCTGATTGATCACTCGGATATATAGAACACACACTCGCACACACAAATGAAGAGCTTTGGGCACCTGTTGCAATCTCTTCGATTGCCGTGCACTTAATTTTTGAACGACGTCAGCGACAACGCTTAATGTTAACACCGTGACAACTGTTTTTCAGTCTTGTTCCATCTGCTTCTTTTCTGAGGCTGATATGAGGCACTATATGGTGAATTATAGTATAGTTTAGTATAGTGTAGAGGGAGAGACCTTTGCTGGCATCCGCTACCCACGAGACTTGTACGCGCACTGAACTGCTCCGCCGAGGTGTACGGAGCTATGTATAAAAATTTTGACTATAGGTTCGATTTGGCGCTGCTGTTTCTTCGCCGCTGCTCTTCGATTTGTTTTTGTTTCAGTTTCTGTTCTGTTTCTGTTTCTATTTCAGTTTCAGATTTAGTTTTTGTTTAAGCCGAACTTTTGTCTCGGCTATTCGGCATCTTGCTCATCTTCATCTCATCTTTGACTTTAGCTTTAGCTGTGTGGCTTTGCTCGAGATGTTCTTTTGTGCCTTGTGGATGTGGAAGTGGATTCGAGTCGTATACGTTATTTGAACGATCGTCTGGTCTCGTTTTCCTATGATAATTGCGAATACAATGTTGTGCGTGTTTTGCCGGCATTTTGTTGCTGCAGGCCAAATTCGCTTGGCTTTTAATTCGTTTTGTATTTGGCTGTGCAGCCTTTTGTACAATTAAAAGAATCATAAAATATTCTTCAATAGTTGTCACTTTTCGATCGATTTGGTCAAAGCGATTGCGGTAGAACTTTGAGGAGTGCTTCAAAATGGAATAACAAAATATTAATATATAGTAAATATGTTGTATTTAAAATTTTATTGAATGTAAATAAGTGTTTTAACAGTAAAAATTTGTAGAATCTATTTTCTTTGATTTATTAAAGGTATAAAGTATTAAATAAAAATTATTTTCCAAAAATAAATTAGCAGTTTCGTTTCATTGTCTGTCTTCAAGAATACTTAAAATATGGGCTACAAAGTCGTTATAGAATTGTTAAAAAATATCATATAACCCAAAACAGTAAATATGACAAAATACTTGTTTGCCTACAACCACAGAAACCAGAATTCTAAGATCAAATGAGAAGTATTCTTTGTACATATATTTTTATCCTAATGATACTTTCATTTTCCCTCAATTAACTGCCCTTCAAACACCCTAAGGCATTATGAATTCTCAATTCTCAGTTATTTATCGGTTCCTCTGGGCACTTTCATCATTAGCCAGAGAATGAAATCGAACTTTACAAATAGTCTTGAACAGCCACAGAATGAAATGTTCATTCTATTTTGTTTTCTCCTGGTAATTCGTACTTCTCTTATATATTCCAACAAAAAAACCGCTTGCCCAACCTTGACCCACTTACAATACCTTTTCACGCTTCATCTCCATTCCGATGAACTTTAGAACCGAACCGAAATTGCGTGGGTGGTTAATAATTTCGTTGACCTTTTTTAGGGTGAGTCAGCGAAATTTTATAGACTGCTTTAGAAGTAGTTCCAGAACTGCTTAAAACAAGCCAAGCTTAAAACATTGCTATTAACAGCAATAAAAAGAATGATTTACATCTAGAAATATTAAAGTGTGTGCGATTGGTTCCGTTAAAAAATGGAGTTTATTCAAGGAGACTGCGTATTTACCTGTCCATTTACATACAAATTCTTGGAGCCTAGGGCTTAGATTCTAACGACCCACAAATATCATAGCGTATTGATTAAGGCCCACTTCCGGGTCAAGTCTGTTGGCTAATGAAACCGATCCAAAAACAATGTTTTGGCCAAGACTTCAAAGCAGGTCTACAAAAACGAAACGGAGGCTGAGGCTGGGGTCACTGAAAAGTTAACTGTGTCACCGGCGAATTGAACTTGAACTTGCCGATTAACTTATGCGTATCGTATCTTTAACCAGTTCGAATCCGATTGGACTGCATAAGATGTGGGTGAATGTCGACCGGACGAATTGGTGGGTGAATCCCTTCGTCTCCCAGGAATCAATCATACGCCGTGTGCGCCTGCGCAAATTCTTCCGGTATCATATCTTGATGGGTATATACGATTTGCATGGGTCTTTTGTTTGTCTACCGATCATAATGGTATTCCAAAGACGTTAGTTTATTATCAACGTCGCTGCAGACGATTCATGCGATCGAGTTCGATATATTGTATATGAGGGGTGACTGCCAGTTATGCAAATACCTTCCGCAAACATTTACATTTAGCCAAAAGCAAAACTGGCCAACAAACCGTTAAACAATTATGGCCGAATTTGTTTGTATATTCATGCCAAATTGCGTAGACAAAAACAGTCACACGAGCCACTATCAAATGTGCAAAATCTCTTTTGCTTGTTGAATTCTTAATTGGCAATGAGACAGAACATTATAAAGTAATTATAAGATGTTGTGGTTTTTCTGTTTTCAAGGGTGCCAAACAGTTTCATTATCGATTTCCTATGTCCAACAGGTTCTGCAAAGTTTATTTATTATAGCTGATTTTATTTCATTGCCTACAGCACTGATTAGTCGTAAGATTGTTAACAGCAATTGCAAATGAGGCTCTTAAATGTTTAATTGGCCGCGTTAAAGTTGTTTGCGGTCTGCCGGCTTGAATTTCTGAGCTTGGCTTTTTCACACGCTGCTAGCGCCATCTGGTCTTCGAGTTTTTAAAGCTTCGCTTAAAGCTTGTCGGTTAAGAGTTACCAGTTTGTTGGAAAAATATATGTTGAAATACTTGGCCGTTAGGATCTAAGTTTGATCTAAGTTCGTGTACTAAAATAAACTAATATTAAATAATAAGATAAAAAAAAAATTAAGCATTTAAAAATCCACTTCAATTTAAGAGGATTTTATAGTAAAATGCTTCAATATTGTTTTCTGTAATTAATGATCATAGAAGCGTATAATAAATATTTACTTCCGGAATTCCCCAATGGTAGATCAAAGGCGCATTTATGGTCAGGATCATTAAAATTTTAGATAATAATTTTTAACAACAAACGTATTATAGAAAAAGCTTTCCGTTAAATATAAACTAAAGAACGTCTTTGGGTCTTACAATCCGTTTATTAATAGGTGATAAATAATATTTATTAAATTTATTATCCTTTTAATAATGTAAAAGAAATATTCCTTATTATAACAAAGTAACTTCATTTAATTGAAATTCAATTAACAAAGTTAAGTTAAAAAAAATGTTCAAGATTGTATCTAAAACTCAAATCTGCCACATTAATTATTGTAGTAGAAATATACGCATACACGTGACTTAATTAAAGCCCTAACCAAAAATTAAGCTTTGAGTTTACCCCGAAGGAGGCATATGATTAGAAGATACCCACGTAAGAAAACAATGGGTAAATGAGCTGTTCCGATTAACATATTACATGACAGGTCGCCACTGATTGGGATGAGATTGTAACAGGTCGATGCTCTATGGCCACTCATCCAAAGTGCCTCGTTACCCAGTCAATTGCGCAAATCGAACTCGTTTGCTAGCGCGGAAATGCCGAAGCTATGGGCAAAGATATATAAATTTATATATAGATCTATCTAGCGGGCCTCTCGCGAACTCCGATCGCGATCTCCGATCAATCGAATTTTTGGAGTCGTAGCTGCCCAACTATCCAACTATACAACTACCGTTGGCTTGCCCTTGTAGGAACTCGTTTCGAGCGTTAAAACGAGAGAAAAACAAAAAGATTAATATGTGGTGAAAAAAAGAAATCGCACTTCCGTTTCCTGATCGATCAGAAAATGCCTAAGAAGCTTAATAGATTCGATGGCGCAGAGCGGTTTTCATTTAAATGCAAAATTATAAATTCTACTCTTGATATTTTCTGCCAGCTTTCGAAACGTATCGCTGGCATTTTGCCGTCTGCGATTTTTTGCGCTCGACAACTGTGTCAAGTTCAGAGTAAACTTTTAATTGCTAATTGACTGACGAGGGATCTATTCTTGGATCAACTCGCTCTTAATTAAATTCAAAATTATGTATCGCGGAGTTTTCAAGTTCAACACTCGTCGGCGACATGTGTGTTTTTTGCCGAGAACTTTACCATTTGCCCGCCGTCTTGCCTCATAAACCAGAAAATAAAACGCGAACTGCCCGGTTGAGTTTATATTTCTAGCTTCACTTATTTTGGGTATGAAACGGGGAGCATCTTCTTCATTCACTGGATTTGTTTGGCTGTAACTGAGCTCACGTTTGACCAATTGATTAGCGGCCTTAGCGGCACTCGACCTTTAATATTAGTTAAACCTGTTCAGTGGTGGGTTCCAGGGGGATTTTAGGGTTTTTTATATTATATCAGTTCCCATATACCATCCAAAAAAACTCTTTGGTTTATGTTTTTTTTTTATTTTTAACCATTCAATGTGCTGAAATCGATTTTTTTCATTGATTTGGATGTCCAGACTTTTCATGTAACACATTAAAACTTCAACAAAACTTCAACAACTTAAAAATATGTTCTTTAAATTATAAAATAATCTTTAAATTCATTGATTGTCTTAAATAGTTAAATAATTTTTGAATAATAGTTTTTGACCAATAAATATAAAAACTTCTAAAAATAGTAAATTATAAGGTAATTGATCATAAACCCCCTTTCTCTGCCCGTGACCATATTAGCGAGCGTGACCATCGAACGTGCCATCTTCTCGGCTCTACCAATTCTCTTTGGCCATTACTCAACTGTCCAGAGCAGGCATCTTCTGGGTTTACCCATTCAATTAGGGCCAAAAGTGGTGTGTGCTCGGTAAAAATCTTAGCCGCGCAAATGCGAGTGAATTTGAGCTTGAAATTCCGAATGCCCAAATCATCAGTACATGTGATATAAATATGTTTAAATGTTTAAATTGAGCTCTTGTCTCTTTTTCTGCCCGTCCGAAGGTCAGGGCGTGCTCGCTTTTCTGCACCAAATTGCAACGCAATTAAGACTAAGTACTATATATGGCCAGATCTGCAGATAAACCCATGGCAGACAGAGTTGACATGAAAGATTTGGCAATCCAATAAGTAGTAGCGATTGCGAAACTCAAAACTCCGCGCAAATATGTTGTTACCTTAATGAAAAGGCTTAGCGTCAGCGTCTGTAACAGTTTAATTGGTAATTACTATTTACAGCTTCGATAATCAGGGGGCAGTCCGACGGCCAGCCTTTCGAAAAAATTCCGTTATCAATTAGAAAACGCCGGCGGTCAACGGTCAATTGGCGAACTGGAGATCGAGCG